CCAATTTTTGACGTTTAGGCCCTCATTTTGGCCTTGAACGAGATTGAGGATTTTCTCCGTGGAGTAATCCATGCTGCTTGGGAATCGAGCAACCAGGACGTCAGAGTTAGGAATGTCAGATTCCTCTACCATCCTTAGCGAAGCTTCCTCCCAAGGCTTGATGGAGGCGACTGCAGTTTGCAGCCACTGCTTGGTGGCTATGTTTTCGCAAACTAGAGCGAGTCAGCCGAGTCTGTTGTGGGCGCTCAGAAACTTCGGTTTGACCGGGCAATCCGATGCTACCTCGTCCACGATCTTATCCATAATTGCCTCTTTGGTGGCTTGAATTTGCTCCACTGACGAAAGGCAAACTACTTACATCTATCAATAATGTTTACAGGTTGGAGAATCACAACCCACCTGCTCTGCGTTTTAACAGTTAACATTTTCCAAAACAGCTGTTTTCCACCATAAGTTTTGACTTAGAAGAAGAAAGGACGAGTTGCAGAATTTGGGATTTAAATTAAAATAATATAAAAGACCAACTAAACTAAAAACACATTTATATTGACGAGTGAGTAATAGAAATCCAACAAACGAAAAATCGAATAGGTACTGCAATATTTCAGTTGAATCTTTTTATGTCAATTCCAGTATCATTTTGGTAATAATCTTGATAACTAGCTCTCATCCGTCAAATAAGTTGGAGCATCTTAAAGCCAAAACTACGTTACACAAAGTTTCAGCCATTCCTTCCTTAATTTGTATTATAAAAGGCTCTCTGTTGCGGGAGAGACTCTCCATTCAAGCCACTAATAAAATGTCAGCCAGTTTCAACACGAGGAGCCAAACGACTTTTGGAATATGTTTTAATATAAAGTTAAGCTACAACGTTGAGATTGTATATAACAAAGATTACAAAATTTAAGTTTTTAAAAAAAGTCATAACAAAAACTAGATCTAAATCAAAATACTAAAACATTATTGCATAGATTATATTTTTCGTCTAGGTGTGGCAATTTGCAATCGTCAAAATCGTAGAAAGATCTAGAATACCTATACAGAAAAAAAATATATGAGTTTTGTTTAAAGACTACTTAAAATGTTGGAAGTAATAAACCCTTAACAGGTTGCTTATTAGAACGGCAGCAACAAAAACCTTTTATTAAAATGCCTCTATGAATATAAAAGAATCTAAGCTGAAGGCCGTTAATAATAACTTCCACATAAATTAAATTTATTCTCGTAAAACGCAAATTAAATTTCACCCAGGATTCATTAGTTGGCGAAACAAAATGAGATTCTTTCCTTTCGTTTACTCCTTTTTGCTCGCCCCAGTTTCACTTTAAATTACGCCGATTTTGCTTAATTGCCTCAATGTGGTAAGATTTTCATTTAATTGCCGAGTTTTTTTTAGTCGCCTTTGGGTTCGTATTTCGTCAAGGGAATGTTTATCAAAATGTTCATTTAGTTTATTTTCACAGTGAAGCAAAAAATACCTAATGAATCTCATTTACACCTTAATGTCAGAGCATTTTCCTTAATAAAAACCTCTTCAACAAAATCTATAAAATTTTTGAATAATAACGTACCTATTTAAATATTTGAATTTGAGTTCTCATCAATTTATCCCTTATCGTTCCCATACCCAATGAAAACTTTAGACAAATTGTAGTCTATCTATCAAGTAATTACCATTTTTAGGCATCTTAGTGCAGCAGTTTAGCTAGGATATTTCAACATATTGTGCACTTTCGGATAAAGGCACCAAATTTGGCACAGAGGTAGACTGATGTAATATGAACAAATTTGGATGTGGAGCCATCGGCTAACTGCCCCTCGGCGGCCGTGGCGGCGATCTTTTAAAATGGTCGCTAGTGGATATTCCGAAAGACAACGGAAGTAAGATGAAGTATGCTAATAAAGGCTTTAGTGAATGTTTACTGATTGTTTTGAATGAAAACATAACATATGGTTTTTTAAGTTATACAGGAAGGCACGAAAAACTTCCTACCTAGGTTTTCTCAGGTCTCGTCCCAGGTTTTAGATGAATAATCAGAAATCGCTCGTTTTTTTTTGGGGGGACACATTTTATCGTTATTTCCAACCTCTACTTGTCAACCCCTAAGCGGGGGTGTCAGGTACCCCCAAAATTTCAAATGGAAAGGGGGTTCGAATGATACAATGTACCATTTCCTAACTTTTACAAGCCGCAATCTTGGCAGGGTAAATAATAGCAACTTAAAATTACAAGGATAAAAATCTCAACAAAAATTTCCATCAAATCACGTATCACCCGACCCCCCTTTCTGTTCGAAATTTTACTCCCGCTTAGGGGTTGACAGCTAGAGGGTGAAAATACCAATAAAATGAACGAGAGATTTTTGATTAATCACCTAAGAAAACCTGGGTGGGACGTTTATTATGCCCCATCCTGTATATACAGGGTGTCCCTAGGGATGCCACGTTGGAAAGTAAGTTGAACCGGAGAAAAAAAAAAGCTGAAAAAAAAATCCTACAAATCTGATAACAGATGTACTAGGTACACTCTATCTATACACAAGTTTTCTACCGGATGATGCTTCAGGGTTGGGAGTTGAGACGGTTGGAGAGGGAGATCCAAGGATTATTACACACTACACAGGATAGGACAACCATAGGATAGCCTATCCGCATATAGCCAAGCAACTCAAGCCCCCCACCACGCCAAAGCACCAGTGATGACGTAGACATGATGATGACGTTTCTCGCCTAGGGTGTTTGCACCACAGGCTATGATTTCGCTGACATTTGCTTTATGCATACTTGGTTTTAGTACATAAATAGCAACGAAATCAATCTTTAGTCAAGTCCTTGTTAGCAAACAACAATCTCATATTGACATTGACACAATCTGAGGTTTTTGTTAACTAACAAGGACTTAAGTAACGATTGATTTAGCCGCACTAATGGCCGTTTGCACCGACTATTTTAAGGGAGGTTTAACGATAATAAACGCTTAAAGTGACATTTCTACATGTAAAAATGTCACTTTAAGCGTTGATTATCGTTAAAACTACCTCAAAATGGTCGGTGTGAATGGCCATAAGCAACATTCTAAAACAACCCTTTTTAGATCTCGTTTGCATCTTCCACTTTGCCTATTATTTTATTCAAAATTAAATAATATAATTCATCATAAATGTATATTTTAAACTACGACCGCTGGCGCAAACAGTTAACGACAGCGTTGATGACGTCGGCAACGGTGCAACACCATTTGACCTTGATTCCAAAAATCAAGGCCGATGAGCAATCCTATAGTAATGTGTAATATCTTTGAGGTAGAGCAGGAACAGTATTGTGCTGTTGCTAAATCTTATTTTTTTTCCTGAACATAGGAATTATTTTTACGTTTTTTTTGTTAAATGCGTTTTTTTTTTGTTAAATGCGGTTTTACCCGGAGAAAACACCTAGTATGTACTTACGTATGTGAAAACCCGTAGACTGTTTGGCAACCCTAGGTGTCCCACGACGTTTTACCCAGTTGATAACTTCGGAACGCATCATCGAATATTCCACTTTGTAATTTTTTACCATTTTCTTCAATAAGGCCTAGGCAAATATGGTATTGCCGATTTTGTAATTTATATTAATTTTCTAACGAAAAATGATATAATACCATGAGTTACATTTAAGATTCCGAAGTGGCTGTCATAATTGACCAAAACTAAAGCGAAAGTGAAATTGAATGACGCATGCAATTATATTAGGTGACGCGTTCCGAAATTATCACCTGGGTAAAACGTCGTGGGACACCTTATATATACAGGGCGGAGCAGGAAAAAAATCCCACCTAGGTTTTCTTAGGTTTATATACTCGGATTATATTCTCGAAATTTTAAGTTGCGGCAGGGTCAATAGCAATGAAGTAGTAAGAAAGTTTTAAATGGGCTTTGCGTGTGATTCCATAATGAAATAGTGCTAGAGGCAGAAAATCTATCGGATCTCTCGCTCTAATTCTGAATGAGATAGCGGTAGTAAGGGCAGGAGAATCACACGGATCTCTATACTGTTCTCTCACTTTAGTCTTGGCCGCAAATATACGTATTGACAAGATAGGCAAGGGGCCATTCCAAACCCTCTGACTACTTCATTAGTAAATAGTCCCTGCCGAAATGGCGGCTCGTCAAAGTTAGGAAATATATGCCTAGTACATTGTATCACTCGAACCCCCTTTCCATTTGAAATTTTGCGGGTATAAAGAGTGAAAATACCAATAAAATGTGTCCCCCAAAAAACAAAAATTGACGTGTCCGAGCAATTTACCTAACACCTGAGAAAACCTAGGTGGTTTCATGCCCCACCCTACATAACTTACAAACTATTTGGCATGTTTTCATTGAAAACAATCAATAAACAATCACTAAAACCTTCAGCAGAAGACTTTATTATCTAACTTCCGTTGTCTTTCGGGGTGTCCACTGGCGGCCATTTTGGAAAATCGCCGCTACGGCCGCCAGGGGGCAGTTGGCGCCACATCCAAATTTGTTCATATTACATCGGTCTACCTCTGTGCCAAATTTGGTACCTTTATCAAAAAGTGCACAATAGGTAAGCTAATCCGCTGTACTATCTTCTATTTTGGGACACCAGAAGACTATTAATTCCTGAGCACACAAAAGCTGGTCGAAACAAAACAAAGACGAATTGATTGATCGTTTGAAGACTGGATTATTGTGACAGCAGAAAAGAACTGGATACAGAAAAGAGTTGAAAATATAAATCTCGAAATTGTTGCAGACAGAGGCAGGGCATCAAACCATCTAATTACCTGAAATTTTCAACTAGTTGGTCGTTATTTTTAAGCTTTGATTTCTGTTTATTCAGATATTTCAAACATTCTAAATTTACTACTCGAAAGACTTTGAGAGACCCCAAGAGAAAAGATAGTAGATATTTTCCTTCTCATCTCGTCGAGAAACTTTCGTCTCGGGGGAGGATTATTTATCAAATAAAAATCCAAAATAAACCCATTGAAATAACGTATTTTGCGTCCTTCCCAGCTATTAAAAAATGGAGTTTTTATTTTGAAAAAAAAAATAAACATTTCCAATTTATGCATCATGCCTAATTACGTCAGGCATAATAATACAAATTATCACAATATCAGTTATTATAGAAATTATACATGAACAAAATGTGTTTATGTAGGTTGCTTACAACCAGAAGTTTTGGGCCAATCGCAGTAATTTCCTTTGGCATTCCAATAAAGACCGTCTGGACAATGCATCAATATGACACCTCCGGTTGTGCATTGATAGTACGATTTGCAATCATCTGGGTTTTTCAAGTAGTTAACTCCGGCTGGGCATTTAGCTAAAACAAAAAATAAGAACTATAGGCAGTTTTATCAAGTGAAAAATGTACGAAATACAAGAAGAAAATCAGGCAATACTTTGATACTTCAAAAAGAAATGCCAAAGCACTTCAACACTAAAAAGGAAAATTTTCATCCCAAAATTTAATCTTTTTGTAACTGTTGAGACTCATGCATGGTTCCGGTTGCTAAAATTCGTTATTTCTTTTCATATTTATGGCAAAGTATTCACAGAGATTTCACTAATCCACACATTGGTAACTGTTGACTCCAAGATAGATTTAAAATTGGAATTATGGACCATCTTTCAATTTTTCCGGTACTCTTTTTTCGAACATCTAGGCTTCAATACTCCATGGAGTTTGGGCAGTCTCAAATGATCATTCTTCCTAATGATGTTATGAAATGAGCGAAACAACAAGCATAGACACCGATGAATTTGAAAAGCCTATAGACATTGAAGATTCAAGATTCTGAAGAGCCTGTAGTGAAAGATACGATTAGAGCTTCGATTAATTATTCGCCAAACACAATATTTACTGATGCTCAGTCTCAGTCAATAGAAATAACGACTTTGATGTGTTTGAGTGTTTCTTTCAGAAATTCGACACTCTGCCTATCGAGACTCAACTTCAAATTTAATTAACTATAAAAATTTCGTCAATAGCCCAAATTAATTCATTTTCACTTTAAGATTTTGCAATAAGGTTTCACACAAAGCATTTCTGAATAACTATCGGAAATGGGTCTTCACAAACCCCCAAGACCTACAACCAGATAGGTATTCATTTGATTCCAATTGCCTGTTTTATACCTATCGTACTTACGTGGTTTTTCCGATATGGGACAGGCACAGGTCGTGGTAGAAGTGCTGCTAGTCTTTCTGGTAGTGGTGCTTGGGCTTTTAGTAGTGGTACTGGTTATTTTGGTAGTAGTACTAGTTATTTTGGTAGTAGTACTAGTTATTTTGGTAGAGGTACTAGTCGTTTCGGTAGTAGTGCTAGTCATTTTGGTAGTGGATGGCGGACTGCAAAAGGTTTTTTAAATTGATACCAAAATAAATAATGTAACAGCAGATTTAATATAGTTACCATTTCAATTTGTTATCATCCCATCCTTTTGTATCACAATAAGCCAATTCCGGATAAGCGCAAATGTTTCTGATTGAATCCCACCAAAGGTGGTCAGGACACGTCATTTTTGTAGCTGTACCATTAGAGCAAACCCACCAATGAGTGCAGTTTGGATCTGATACATTTAATTGTTCTGAGCATCCTACAGGGCAATGAGCTACAATTGAAAAGTTTATTGTTAGTTAGGAATTTGTTTTGTTGAAAAAAAAAAAAAAAACTTACGTCTTCCAGGTAGTTTAGTTGTAAGGTTCTCATCGCTCAAAGGTGTTTGAGTGGCTATATCGTGACTAAAAAAATTTAAAAATACGACCAATATGTTTCTGTAACAAGCACAAATTGTTCAAAATAGTTACCAAATAAGGTCTTCAGAAGTCCACCCTCTTTTTTTCTGGCCCCTATGAATATCGCAAACCTTCGCTTCGGGATCGAAAACCAAACCATCTGGACATTTCTGTCTGTAGGCTCTACCCTGGTCGCATTGCCAGAAATATCTGCAACATGTTACATCAGGAACACGGAGAAAATAAGGACAGTGTTTTGGGCAGGGCGCTGTGAGAAAAATTAAATCAATTAAACATTCTAAAGCAAATGTTAAAAACTTACGTGGATCTGAAGGGTCTATTGTCACACGATTAGTGGTAGTTTCTGGTGCTTTGCTGAAAAATTAGGCAGGGATGATTTTTTCAGGAAATTTTATGAAGCTACTGTAATTAGGCTTTATTTCAAAAACGAAAACTCTTTACAGGTTTTAAACAAACTATTATTTAAACGCTCAATAAATCAAGTCTATTGTCACAACCCCTATACGTTTCGTCCCGGGACGTCACAACAGGAGCGTGACCTGGGGGCGTAGGTGGGGTTCAGGTAGAGAGAAACTCATTTGGTATAGGTATAATAAGGTAATGTATTGAATAATAATAATATTACCCTAGAAATAGTATCATGACGTCCCTTCTACGGAGGGACGTACTACTTATAGGCCATTCTGTATTATGTACAATCTGTACACTTGGCGTGACTGTAGACTGAAGCTGGGTTTGAGACAGGTCCAGAAGGGCGTTTCCCATTAAAGGTAGTTTGCACTGGACCTAGTCTGCTGCGTTCAATGCTCCCAGAAGAAGCTAGGCAGGCAGTGGCGGCTCGTCAGATAGTGATGCCGCGAGACTCGAGACTGGTCTCGTCTCGTCTCGACTTTTCGAGACGAGACTGGCTTTTGGTCTCGTCTCGTGAAGTCTCGACGAGACGAGACCAGACTTGGCGAGAGTCTCGTGTAGTCTCGAGTCTCGAGATTACACTTAAAATTTTTCTTTCATAGCTTTATTATTGGACTATTCTGGGCTATTTGAATATGAAATCAGTAAATTAAATATCACGGTTACTCTTTACTGTGATTTTTCACTAATTGCTTTTTCACTGTGGCAGTTTGGACTTCCGTTTTGATATAAAAATAAAAACCAAAAATACAGGGTGTCCGAAAAATAGCGTAAAAGCTCTCCACGTAGTAGAGGACCCTTTGAAAAACCCTAGAAAAATAATTAAATTAAAAAAATCCTTCTCCAGCATTATTTTTGGTAAGATGTGAAAATTTACCTTCGAATTCATTAGCTAATTACATGGGTATTTAATTTAATTCTCTGACATATTGTCAACGGGATATTTTCAGTGTTGCCAATCTTAATAGATAGTAAAATGCAAATGACTTTCTTAAGAATGCCACTAGATTTTTTAAAGTATTTTTCTGGGGTTCCTTGTAGGGTCCTCCACCATGTAGAGAAGAGTTTTCACGCTATTTTTTGAACACCCTGTATAACTCGAGACCAGACGAGACCACTCGAGACGAGACAAGACTTTGGTACTCGAGACCGAAACTAAGTCACGGTCTCGTCTCAAGATGTCGAGACGAGACGAGACCAACCCTAAGTCTCGTCTAGTCTCGTCTCGCGGCATCACTATCGTCAGAGGAGGCAGGGGAGGCTAAACCTCCCCTAAAAAATTGAAAATTCAATCTCAATTTTTCATTCCTGATTTCTAATTGAAATAATAATTCACAAATTACACAACAGAATTCCAATTTTCGATATTTCAATGTAATTTAGAAAAATTTGACATTATTTCAATCAATCCCGCGCCTCCACGACAAAAATCTGTGAATCTGGGATACTCAGTAATACCGGCCCTTCTTGCGAGCCCGAAGGGCCGGACTAATACAAGCCCGAAGGGCTAGAGTTATACGCGAGCCCGAAGGGCCGGAGTTGTACGCGAGCCCGAAGGGCTAGAGTTATTTTAATCACGGAACTCAGTCTATAATTCTATTGGTCAGCGGATAATTTAGAGCCAATTAAAAACCGGGAGTATTTAAAATGCGATTTTTAGCGTCCGATCAAAGAGCCGGGAATATTCAAAAACTTTAGTTTTATCAAATTGATTTTGGAATTTTGGTTTGGTTTTCTTAAGATTTTTACTTTTTTCAGAAAACGGTGGTTTTTGCAAACATATACTACTTTATCATTGTCTTTGTCTTACTCACTATAATCAATAAGTGAATTTTATAATGTCATTTTCATTGATTTATTAATTTCATTATTAATTAATTATTAAATTGAATTTTAAACAAAAAACTCTTTTAAAATGTTATTTTTGTTTTCCGAGATGAGATGTGGCAGCGTTGCTTTTAGTTGGCCATTTTGAAGTGACGCCTTGTGATTTTTTGCCAGTTTTTTCCCGAATTTCCGATTTTTCTGGAGTTTTTTAATGGAAAAAAGCGATTTGACATACGATACGAGGCTTTGAGGTTTCTTCATTTTTTAGTAAAAATTTCTAGTTTTAAATACCATAATTAGCAAAATCCCATTTAAAATGCTTTTGATGTGGCAACATCGCTTGTGGCTAAATTCAATCAAAGAAGCATTTTTGACAGTCGGCCATTTTCAATTGACGCGTTTACATTTTTATTCAGTTTTTCTTTGAATTTCCACTTTTCAGGGCTTTTTCAGTCCGGAAAACTGATTTAAAGTACGAGGCTTTGAGTTTTCTTTATTTTCCACCAAAAATTTCCAGTGTTTTAACGGGGTAAGTGAGAAAAACTTTAGTTTTATCAAGTAGGTTTTGGAATGTCATTTTCGTTGGTTTCTTTTTTGGAATTTTTATTTAAGGTTTTTGGGGTCCGGGGATCGTTTTCTACCAATTTTTTTCTCGAAATTCGCAAAATAAAAAAAAAACTTTTTTGACGTTGACAGCTGTCAATTTTTTTTTGACACAAATCGATAGTTGGCGTCGTGAAACTGCCTTGCACCGGGGTTTGATTTTCGTAGCTTTTATAGTAGAGCGGGGAAAAAGTCGAACATGTGTCAAATTTGACAGGTGACATTTGTCGATATTGCCAAAGTGTCGTGCGACAAAAGTTTTATCCGAACGAACCCGTTCATTGTTAACTGATTTCAATTCTCCGGCCCTTCGGGCCGTAATCTTTGAAACAAAAAGACGTCGTTTTGTATTAATTGTCAAAAAAACCCAAGGTTTGAAATTTCAATTTTTTGACGTTTGTTGTATCATGAGCAGTGTTGCCATATGTTTTTTTTCGAATCTCGATTCTGGAAGGCTGAGGTTATCTCAATTATGAGCTCAAAGAGCCAAGGTTATACGAGTCCGAAGGGCCGGAATCATGCGAACCTGAAGGGCCGGAGTTATACGAGCCCGACAGGCCGGAGTGATTTTAATCATGAACCCGAAGGTCCGAGGTTATACGAGCCCGAAAGGCCGGAGTTATACGAACCCGTTGATTGTTAACTGATTTTAATACTTCGGCTCTTCGGATCGTAATCTTTGAAACAAAAAAACGCCATTTTATATCGACTTGCAAAAAAACCAACGCCTACCTTGATATTTCAATTTTTTGACGTTTGTTGTTTCATGAGCAGCGTTGCCATATGTTTTTATCAAATCTCGATTTATAGGTTATTTTAAACCCAATCATTGACATTTCTGAAAAATATTTCCTTTAAAATTCCCAAATATCCTTTAGAATCTCCAAAAATCTGTTAAAATCTCAGAATTCCATAATTTAGTGGAATTTCGGTAGAATAATTATGTTATTCTGAAAAAGGAATTAGATGAGAAATTTTTGCGGAGTTTCCATAGAATTCACATTAAATTTTAATTCCTCTCGAATTACTTGAAATTTCAGTGAAACTCCGATCGAATTACACGAAATCCTAAATGAATTACATGGAGGAATTTTAAACAATTACATGATATTACACCTAAATTCTCAACATGAAATTTCAGTTTTTACTGAAATTTAGTACTGCCGAGGAATTTCCAGCTAAAAACATGGAATTTCGGTGATATTCCGAAAAATTACCATGAAATTTCAATATATTTCGATGAATTTTTAAGATATTACTTGAAACTTCATTAATATTCCCAGAAATTCCTGGCTATTAAAAGAGAATTTCAGTGAAATTCCGAAAAATTCTTATGAAAATAAATTAAATTTTGAAAATTCCTTGAAGTTTCATTGGACTTTCGAGAAATTTTCTGTTAAGTTATGAACGTGGATATTTTCATAAAATTTTAGTGAATTCCGAGAAATTTTTAAGAAATTACATGAAATGTCAATGAAATTCCATAGAATTTTATGAAAATTTTGTGGAATTCCAAGATATTTCAGTGGTAAAATTTTGAGGAATTTTAGTAAAGTTAAAAAAAAAAATATGGAATTTTGAAATTGAAATCTTAGTGGAATTCCGAGGAATTTCATGAAATCCTATACTGTAATTCCGAAAAAAAATTGTCCAAGAGTTCCATTAAATCTTCTAATGAAATGTTAAGGTATTTATTTCTATGGAATAACTTAAAATTTTCGCGGAATTCCCATGGAATAACTTAAAATTTTAATGGGATTCCAAAGAACTTTGATGAAATCTTCGAGAGGTTTTTCCCCAATTAGTTTTCCAGGACAACTTTGAAGTGTGAAACTGTATTCTCCAAGAGGCAAAACCACCTTGGAATTCTTTGTTAAAAACTTGGGGAATTTATAGGGAATTTGGAAGATTGTGTTCGATGTTGGACAAATTCCAAGGAATTCTCGTCGAATTACACCTACATGGAATATCTTGAAATCTTATTGTGGAATTCCAGTGAAATTATATCGAAACCGAAAAATTCCCTCGGAATTAAACAGAATTTTCGTGGAATTTCCATGGAACCACGAAAAATTTCGGCGGAATTCCGAAAACTTGAAAAATTTTAGTGAAATTCTGAGTAATTTCTGTCGAAATTTCCATGAAATCTGTAATTCCGAGGAATTTTTTTTGTACAAGAATTTCATTGAATTTTATGGTGGAATTCGGAAAAGTATTATGAAATCTTATGATAAAATTTCTAGGACTTTCTGTTTTTCTATTCAAATTTGTCATTTGAATGGAATTTCGAGGATTTCCATAAAATCTTCTAGTGAAATTCTGAGGAATTTCTATGGAATTAACAAAGATTTTCGCAGAATTCCCAAGGAATATTTATCGTTAAGGCTCCCCTAAATTAGTTGGTAAATTTGTATACAAGTTGGTCAAAATCCCAGAAAAACTCGTAAGATCTACTCAAAATCACTGAAAATCTTTAAAATGTTTTAGCCTCTTCACTTGAAATAGTCACGAGCCGCCACTGTAGGCAGGTCCAGAAGGGTATTTCCTATTAAAGGTAGTTTGCACTGGACCTAGTTTGCTGCGTTCAATAGTCCCAGAAGGGCGTTTCCCATGAAGGGTTGGTAGTTTGCACTGGGAGGAGACTTAGCTAGAGGGGCTTTTCCCATTTGAGGTACTTTGCACTAGCCTTAATCTGCCGGTAATGGATTTCGGCACCGTATACCAAATAAATGCTGACTCGTTGACACACTTTAGTGAAATTGATGTACAGAGTGGTATTTACTTAAGTACTATTATATGGTCAAATAACTTTACAAATCATATTCCATGGTATTTTATCTATTTTTATAATGTTTTTTTTTTTTAATAATCAAATACATCCTATATGGCGCAAAATATTTGTTCAGCATTTTGTTGTTGCTCCAAAACTGATCATTCTTTGTACTATGCTGATAAATATCTAAGTTTTTTTAATGAAAATTTCAACTTTTGTCGACTTATAACTCGGAAACTGTATCAGTTATCGAATTTGTTAATAATTTTTTTTTGTAGCCAATTCAATCCTCTACTGAAAAAAACATAACTAATGAAAATCGGTGCAAGAGCTTCAATCAAAGATCTGAACGACAAATTGAGCCTTCTCCCGAAGGAAGATTTTTACTGAGTAAGAAATACATACGCCAAGTAAAACTGTGTTGAACCGCGTCTATAGTTGGATCCACAACATGAACTGGGGACCGATTTGCCATGATATATTTTTCAATTCGAAATAATTCCTTTTTCTCCAAATTTTATTATTTTATGTTGTGTTCACAATTTAAACCTCTTAGTGAATTACTTCTTACCAAACAAGATCGTCTACAGTCCATCGTCTGCAAGGAACGTCATGTTTAAAGTTCCACATCCAATCGCACACGTCAGCGTCAGCATTAAAATGGAAATCGTAGGGGCATTCCTTAAGGGTGGCGATTCCATTAGAGCATTGCCAAAATCTGCTGCAATTATAATCTGGCAAGTAGATATCCGAGGGACAAACTGGACAGGGGGCTGTAGGTATATGAAAAAATTATATACGTGTATGTACCCATAAACGTAATATGTTCAATTTTGAATTAATACATCGTCTAATTTTGGGTTTTGGTAGTTATTGTATGATTATAGTAGTGGCCTAACTTTGTATAGTTTATTTGGTTAATCGGTTAACAGTATCGGGTAATTATTTTAGCTGAATCTACTTACGAATATCCTCACTTTGCCCTAAAGCAACGAAAGATAAAAGTACTGCTATGACTAAAGTTAGCTTCATTTTGATTATGGACTCTAACTTGATTCACCACCGACTGATGCTGTTTTGAATTTCGTCTTAGGTTTAAACACCAATAAAATATATTATTTTTGTTTTTAAATAAATATTATCTTTTAATAAAATTATAATTGAAATAAATATGAGTGTATTATTGTGTTAACTACTCTTATTATATTTAGGGCTAATACTATCAAATATTGACAATGTTGCAGTATACTTGGTAGCACAGCATAACATCAATTATTTGGAAGTGAACATTTATTCAATTAATACACGAATAGAAAATAACTATTAATATTCACACTATTTTCTAGAATAACCAACTATACCTACCACTTGAGAGCATGAAAAAATTGGAATATTGATTATCGAAAATGTATACCTACTCATTGGTTCTTGATTATTTGAAACATCACAAGATTTTTCCAGCACTAATTCAGAAATAGTTAAGCCAAGAATCTGGATTTGTAGCTGCTTGAATACGCAAATATGCTTTATGAGAAAAAGGATTCCTAATTTGTAAAAGTTTCCTTGAGAATTTTAACTAAACCGCCGAAACTTCTGCCTCTTGAATACCGAATCTCAGAAATATTTTGTTAACAAATGCCTTGGCAGCTGTGCTGTTTCAGCTTCCTTATATTTGATTGAATAAGATGCAGCAAATTCTCACTCTACTCTTTCCATTTGTATCTGATCTGGTTGTAAAGGATCGACCAAATGTGGTCGTGGTTATATTGACATCGACTGTTGAAATTCGTAGACCCCGTTATTTTTCATCTTTTTCCTTATCTTTCAAATAGGTATTATGAGAGTTGCCACTTCCACGTAATAAAAATGTGTCATTCAGTTCAAATAAAAAAAGCTCTCCAGATTTAAAATTGAACAAAGGTTTCTCTAATAGGTATATGTATTTAGATCGTTTTAGTCATAGTAACAAGTAGGTCTTGGCAAACGTTATATTTGGCGCCACGTTTTTCTGTGAAGATGGAAAAAATCGAGAAAGCCCTTGAAAGACTTTCCTGCGGATCTACAAAGATGTGAATGAGATGCTTGGAGAAGATAGATGTGACATGTTAAATATACAAGGCAATGTACGAGTACTAGATGAACAGATGGCAAATATTAGTGCATTAAGTCAGCTTCTATTTGATTCAATGCAATCTTCTGAGTACTGGGTTACTTAATGCTGAGACGCAGTTGGCTAATGAAATGTATTGCAAATATCATATTGAAGATCCAATTCGAACACCTGATGAGTAGCAGTAAAGCTAGTTCCATTTCTTCTACAAAGTCTTCGTCTTATAAAAATAAGTTAAAGCTACTTAGAATTGGACTTAAAAAGTTTGGAGGTGATCTGAAGAAATGGCTATTAGCTGCCATTCTGAAGTTAATTTTGCCGGATCGACGAAGGCTCCGATATGAAAGAAGAAGACAAATTCCAGTATTTCAATCAATCAATTTATTCAATTTCAATACGAAACCCTAATATAAACATTACTTAAAGAAAAAGAAAATTAACAAAAAAGAAATAACTTTAAATTGGAACTTAAAAATAGAAAATTAGAATCTAACCTGAAATTGAACAACAGCCTTCTCCAAATCACATTTGGTTGCTATATGTATATGGTTTATCATGGGACATTAAAGGCCAAAATATTGTAGCATTTTCAATTTCTTGGCTAATATGCTACTTTGTTTTGCCATAGTGGATATGATTCCATATAGAACTATAAAGAAATAAATGAATAAGCAACTATCTTTTCTGTGCCCAGATTTTATTACCTTGAGTACTGCCTTCTACTAAAAGTTTTTTGGTTCAGATTTGCAATTGTGGTTAATTGATCTAGGAAGGTTTGATTCAGTACGGCAGGGCCCGCTGTTATTGATTATGATCTCTGCAAATTCAATTAATAAATAATCTGAGGTTATGATAATTGTTGTTTACTTTTTTGATTTTTCAGTTCGATCATGTCATTGAACAGCTGTCTTGTCTAAGCGTTTTCTTTAGACTTGTTCTACTTTTTAATATAGGTTCTATAGGCAATTTTCAACATTCACCGGTCATTTAAATACACAACCCATTTTTCAGTTTGTATTTTTGGGATTAAACTGAAAACGCTCTTTTCTATAATTTTCTTCAATGTCAAATTAGAAGTTTGACAAATGGAAGCCTTCTTCCCAAATCTATGGGGAGAATCTGCCCTTTTGATTTATGACCTCATGCTTTGAGGTCCGGTTTTGTCTCTAATAATTTTTGGGCAAGACTTTTGGGAATTTTGTGCCAGGGAACACAAGTTAGACTAATTTCTTGTTGATCTTTGTCTAGCGTTGTCCCTTGGTCATTTTGGATTTTATTTCGGATCGTTTCGAGCAGCTTTTGGAAGTTTAAGACTTCACCTTTGGCTTGATATTTGGAAGATCCTAGGTTGTAACTAGACAGCTCCTAGGCTATATTTGGAAGATTCTAGGCTATACCTAGACAGCTCCTAGGCTGTATTTAGAGAGATTCTAGACTGAATCTAGATTGCTCTTAGTTGGGCTTTGGTAGCCTCCCTTCAGCAACCCTCTTGGTACCACTCTGATAGAACCACGTTGAGTTCTATGTTAGACAGATAAAACATGATTAGGACTTCCCGGGGGACTTCCATAAGACTCACATACCATACCATAGTCTATCTACAGTGAGACCAAACATGTAGATAATATTACTTTAGGAACTGCTGGATTTACACATACATTTGAAGATAACTAACACTTGTATACATGTAAGTTGCACTTTTTACTATTTAGGCAAATCTTATATAAATCACCTGACACTGAATTACGTCAGTACGTGCTGTAACGCTCTTTTGTCGAAACAAAAGAATGTTCATAATTTGTGCTCGACTATTGCTCAGTGGTTGTTTAGCATGGGGTGGTCCTTGGTGTTGGTACAGTAGAGAGAGGGCGCCACTAGTTTGTATAAATAATTTTGATTACCAAGGAATAGCCAAACTAGGCACTATTCCATTAGTTATTGTTTAAAAAGATAAATTCAAAAAAAAATCTGAAAAGGTAAAATAAATCCAAAATCCAATAGCTATCTGACATTCAACCCATTCAATAAAAACACAAGCTTTGGAATTCTAAACACAATTATTTATTTAAGTTAATTGTCATTAAAAAAGTTTGTAACAAGATGGCGAACTATGTTCTATGGTTATGCCATTAAAAATTTGTGACAAGATGGCGAACTTTTTTTTTATTTAAAGAAAATTATTGTCTAGTATCCAAGTCTATTTTTTTTAAGAAATCATTAAGCAGCTTTCTAAAAGCAAAACCTAATATAAGTATTAACAGTAAGTATAATAAGATTGAAATTTAAAAACAATCAATTGATACCCATGATAAAATTTACCTAAGTACAAATGATGGAGTCACAATATCATTAACCTTTAATTTTTGACCCAAAGTCAATCAAATCAATAGAAAACAATTTATTCAATGCAGAAAGGTAATAAATAATCCTTAGGCAGTTATAAATATCAAAAACCTGCTACATGAAATCAAGGCTTCACGGTTTCCGGAAGAGCTCTTACCTTCTTACCTTTAAAGTTCAAATAGGTAACCATAAAACTTAAATTTGACTACCTAAAGATTTTACATTAGTTTACCTTGTGGAACTACCACATTATTGATTTGAAATCAGAAGTTAAATCAACCTTTCAAAGATTAATGAACCCACTTATATTATATCGATCAGTACTCGATATAGAGGAAACAAAATTTATAATAATTGTAATAATGCACACTTATTGAAAATAATCAATTATTGAGAAAACAATAATAAAAGTAAAATCTAGTTATGATAATGATTAATTAATTGAATGGATAATTATATTTAATTTGTAGTTAGCTATTCTAGCTAAATACTACAATACGGTAAATGAGTCGGTAATTGATTTTATACAGTTATGAATTAGCTAATTAAGCTAATCGATAGTAAGCGATAAGGAATAGATAATAATAATTAACAGTAATTAATATTATAAAGATAATAATTAGCTAATAAAGGTAATCGATAGGGAGTGGTAGAAAAGAGATAATATCAAGAAACTGTAATTAATAAGGCACATAAACGGGACCCCTAGGTCAGTAATTATACAAGCCTGGACGAAATCCGTGGAAACTTTCATGAATTTGAGATCCAAAAGCACCAAACTGACGGAAGGCAATCATCCAATGGTCGGGGATCAATCTCTTACAAGACACAACTTTTCTTGTAGAGGGGGCCCAGACTTGCTTTGGAAATGCAGTACAGCATGGTCTCAAATTCGTCAAATTTTCACCCAGAAGTGTAAGCGTGGATTTTTACTACTCTCCCAAATTGCCTGAACGGAATGAAGAAATATAGGAACTCATTTATCAAAGGGAAAAAGGGTTTACATACCTCAACGGCCGATAATAACCTCACTTTCAGAAATTTACACAAAAATCAACAATCTATTGATTTTTCAGGAAACGTTCCAGCTGGCACAACTACTCACTTCTCTGGCTAGTTAAATTAATATAATTTTGGGCTCGATGGCCAAGAATGAAAACCAAAGTTTTTGGATTTCTCCATCAGAGACGACCTTTTCAGTCTAACTATAAAATCGAAAAGAAAAGTCCAAAGTGCCCCTGTGGTTCTGTCTTTCTTCCTCCGTTCAGCCCAATGAGTCCAGCCTGTCGAAATTATAAAAATGACAGCGCTACCGGTTTTTAAAAAAATAACCCTAATTAGGTTCGGAGTTGGAGTGGAGTGATTAAAACTAAACCTAATATGGTAAAAAGCAGTACCCGAACACCTGGAAAGTGAATGAAGTCACTCGAAGTGTACGGAGTGAGCAAGCCGAACGCATCTCTTAATAACATAATTTTCGTTATTAGGTTAGGAAACTAATCAGAAAAATCATAGATGTCGCCAGGTGTACGGAATAGTATTTTAAACTTAGAGCAGGTAAAGACATAAGGAGTAGGAACGCGCTTGCTCTAAGATTTTAAATGTGTCCAAAATATATGAAATTAATTGAGAAC